CAGGAGGATCTCCTGCGCGAGGCGGAGAACCTCACCCGCACCATGCTCGACAGTATCTTCGCCAACAACAGCAACAAGAGACCCGCATCTGGCGCCGACAAGAACGGCGACAACGACGCTGCTGCTGCTGCTGCCGCTGTTGCGGTAGCGGCGCTGCAGGAGGATGACGGTGACGACGCGACGATGGGTGGGGCGGCGCTGGAGAGTTCCCTGTCACTCCTTGACACGCAGGGCGGGCGACGGCCGTTGCGTGACTACCAGCGCTCGGCCCTGCGATGGATGACGAATCTCTACAGCAAGAAGCTGAACGGCATCCTCGCGGACGAGATGGGGCTTGGCAAGACGATCCAGACCATGGCGCTGCTCGCCTACTTCGCTGAGTACCGGAACGACTGGGGGCCGCACCTCATCGTCGTGCCCACAACTGTTGTGCTGAACTGGAAGGCGGAGTTCCAGCGGTGGTGCCCCGGGTTGAAGGTGCTCGTGTACATTGGTGGCCGCAAGGAGCGGCACCGCCTGCGCAAGGGGTGGATGAGCGAGGACGCCTTTCATGTCTGTATCACGTCATACAACCTTGTCGTGTTGGACCGCGCGGTGTTTCGCCGGCGGCCGTGGGGTTTTCTCGTGCTTGACGAGGCGCACCAGGTGAAGAACTTCATGAGCAAGAAGTGGCAGTCGCTCTTTGACCTGCAGACGGAGTACCGCCTCCTGCTGACAGGCACGCCGCTTCAGAACTCCATCATGGAACTGTGGTCCCTTTTCCACTTCCTCCTGCCGTCGGCGTCGGCGTTCAAGTCGAACGAGGAGTTCCGCGAGTGGTTCAGCAACCCGATGGAGGACATGGTGACGGGCCGCGCCTCGCTCAACGAGGAAATCGTGCGCCGTCTGCAGGCCCTGCTGCGCCCATTCATGCTGCGCCGACTGAAGAAGGATGTGGAGTCGCAGCTCCCGTCCAAGACGGAGAAGGTCGTCATGTGCCACCTCTCACGGCGGCAGCGGCTGCTGTACGACGACTACATGCAGCTCACGGAGACGCGTGAGCGCATCCGCGGTGGTGCTGGCGGCGTGCTCGGAGTTCTGCTGGCGCTCCGCAAGGTGTGCAATCACCCCGACATGTTTGAAGAGCGCCGCACTCTTTCACCTCTGGGACTCGATAGCCTTAGTGAGATTATCATGGACGTGCCGCGTGACGTCTTGCTGAGGGAGAATGACTACAGGGGGTGTTACAGGTTTCAGAAGTGGCGCCTATGCGTGGACGACGTGGCACTTCCGCTACAGCGTGAAGAAAACGGGCAGCATCCTCAGCAGTGGCAGAAGCGCGATGCCTTGTTTGATGACTCCTGGTTGGAGTGCTCCTGGTTGCAAACGCTGCGTATTGAGCAGCCATGGGGGACACAGCATCAGCAGCAGCAGAAGCTGGAGCGGTACTCGCCCGAGAACTTCCGCTGGCCACCTGAAGCGCCAGCCGCGCGTACACTGAGCGCGGAGAATGGCGGTCTCAGCGAGGCTGTGTGGTCAATGCTCTGTGAACGCGTGCAGCAGCAGCAGGCGTGCATCCTCCGTCGCCGCCGCACCACCGCCGCGATTCAGGCGCAGCGCTACCGCAGCATGGAAGCCGCCGTATGCGTGTGGTACCCGCGCTGCCTGCAGCTCACACCGTCCGCCGCACGGCGTCTCCCGCCGTCGCTGCACCCAACTATTGCACAACGTGTGTGTGCTATCATGCCGATTGCACGCAAGGTTGCAGTGTACGTGCCACGAGTGGCGGCGACGCACCCACCGCGCCTGCGCTGCTTTCTCCCCGTCGCGCACTATCAGCCGTTCCGCGCGCCCTCGCGGGAGAGTCTCGCGCCGCTGCTTGCGTTGGCGTCGCCACAGCTGCTGCTGCAGAACCGCCATACGAGGTGTGGGGTCTTCGACGCCTCCTCATTTCTCGCCGAGCTCTGGCCTCTCCATGTTCGGCGCTGCTTCAGCTTTCCCGACAAGCGGCTGTTGATCCACGACTGCGGCAANCTGCAATTTCTCGAGCACGCCCTTAAGCAGATGCGGCGCGAGGGCCACCGCATGCTTATCTTTACGCAGTTCGTTCACATGCTGAATATTCTTGAGCGGTTTCTTGCAATCATTGGCATTCCGTACCTCCGCATTGATGGTAGCACGCAAGCGGAGCGGCGACAGGCGTTCGTGGACCGCTTCAACGAGGATGAACGCATCACTTGCATGATCCTGTCAACGCGCTCCGGTGGTATTGGGCTCAACCTGACGGGCGCCGACACCGTTATCTTCTACGACAGCGACTGGAACCCAACGATGGACCTGCAGGCACAGGACCGCTGTCACCGCATTGGGCAAACAAAGCCGGTGACCATCTACCGCCTCATCAGTGAGCACACGGTGGAGGAGAGCATTCTACAGAAGGCACGGGAGCGAAAGAAGCTCAACAATGTCGTCATCCGCGGTGGGCAGTTCCATGCAATGGCTGGGGTGGAGGAGATGTATGAAGACAGCAGTGCGGCCTTGGCGGCGCTGTCGAACCCCGTCCGGCTGCGGAGCTTCTTTCACGACCTGGACGAGGACGCCACCGTTGTGGAGGACACGCAGCCGTCAAGCGTGGCGTGGGCAAACAACAAGAGCCAGAATGACGTTGGAGGCTGTATAAACGGTGATGAGGTGGACATTCGTGCGGAGATGATGATGGTGGAGGACCAGGAGGACCGTGAAGCGCAACAGAATGTGGAGGAGGAGCTGCGGGAGCTGGAAGAACAGAAGCGCAACGATGAAGCCGAGTTGGACGACGAAGAGGGGGACGATGAAGAGGAAGATGGTGAAGAAGATGAAGAGGAGGAGGATGAAAATGGCCGACGACGGCGTCGTCGTCGTCGTCGTTGTCGCCCCCATCAGCAACAGCAGCTGGAGAATGAGGAGGAGGCGCTGCGAGGGCTTCTGCCTTCTGGCGATGCCGGTGTCGCAGATGCCGCGTCGCGTGGGGTCTCGCCGGCGGTGGTGCAGAGGCGGCGCGACATTTTGCGTCGGCTCCGCAGCCCACTCGATCGGCTGCTGTCGCTGCGCTTCGGCCTCTGCCACCCGGTGGAGGCGCGACAGCGGTATGACACGCTGTGTGAAAGCTACACGGCGCAGGTGGGCGAGGATGAACTGCCCCCCTTCACAACGGCATTTCAACTGTGAGCGATGTTTATTGCTCGTTCATAAAAGCGGCGTACGTGTATTTTTGTGCGTCTCTCTCTCTC